AGGCCCTTTTGTGCGTCCTAGAGGCCCTTCTTTGGCGTCCTGGAGGCCCTCTTGGGCCTGTTGGAAACTTTTTCGGACGTCCTGGATGCCTTCTTGAGCGTCCTGGAGGCCCTCTTGGGCGTCCTGGAGACCATCTTGGGCGTCCTGGAGACCTTCTTGGGCCTGTTGGACCCTTTCTTGGGCGTCCTGGAGGCCCTTTACGAACGTCCTGGAGGCCCTTCTTGGGCGTCCTGGAGGCCCTCTTGGGCCTGTTGGAAGTTTTCTTGGGAGTCCTGGAAGCCTTCTTGGGCCTCCTGGTGGCCCTCTTGGGCGTCCTGGAGGCCCTCTTTGGCGTCCTGGAGGCCCTTCACGAACGTCCTGGAGGCCCTTCTTGGGCGTCCTGGAGGCCCTCTTGGGCCTGCTGGAAGCTTTCGTGGGCGTCCTGGAGGCCTTTTTGGGCCTCCTGGAGGCCGTCTTGGGAGTCACGGATGCTGTCTTGGGCTTGTTGGAAGTTTTCTTGGGCATGTCAGTAAGCACAGCGATGGCTTGCAATCCGCTGGTAAGCACAGCTACCAGCACAGGTACCAGTACACCTCCCCGTAAAGCTACCGCTCCAAGCACAGCTATCGCCACAGGTATGAGTGCAGTTCCCAGTAAAACTACCACCACAGCTCCCAGCAAAGCTACAACGGCAGCTACCGCTACCGCTACAGCTACCATGTCTGCTACCACTACAGCCACCACAGCAGCTACCAATACAGCTCCCAGTGCTGCTACCAGCACGTCCACCACTGCAGGTGACACTACAGCTCCCAGTAAAGCTCGTAGTTAAGTGACCATGACAGGTACTCCTTGTAACCACTACAAGTGCCAGTGCAAGTACCACTATAACTACCACGACAGGTACCAGTTCGGCTACCGTGAAAGCGACCAGTGCATGTACCAGTTCAGTTGCCGCTACAACTACCACGACATATACCAGTTTATGTACCACTACAGCTTCCAATGCAACTACCAATCTAGCTACCACTGCAGCTACCACTACGGATGCCACTACATCTACCAATGTAGCTACTGCCCCAGCTCACACTGCAGATCTTACTTCAGCATCCACTACAACGGCCGATCCCGCAAAAGAAGCGAACAGTGTAAGGATTAGTAACGTTCTTGCTGTTGTAACATTACTTTTCCTAAGCAAGCCAGAACGGTTCAATCCCCGGATGAAGTTGCTCAGGACACCCATGCGCCGCCATCAAGGTGACTCCTGGATTTCGGGATGTAAGATGAGCCACGGCTATACACAGTTATATAGCAGCTGCTGCAAGATGTGAGGCGTCGGCCGCCCAGAAGAGTTCAATCCCCGGACGACTTCCGGGGATTGAACCGCTCAGTTGGGGATTGGGCCGTTCCTCTGGGGATTAAGCCCATCGCTTCCTCCTTCCTCCCATTCCCCAGTGCCATCATCGTCGTCAGTTTCATTGTCATCACAGTCGTCATCATCGCCGCCATCGCCACCATCCACATCATCAGAGTCACCATCAGCATTGTCACCATCATCATCGTGGTCGTCGTCATCAGCATTATCACCATCACCGTGGGGTTCGTCACCAGCATCACCATCATCAGCAGAAGCATCATCAATCAGCATCGTCATCACCAGCGTCACCGTCAGCAACTCAGCATCAACATCAGCATCATCATCGCCATTGTCAGCATTCTGCCTCTGCTCTCCGCATGTGCACCATTCCAGCACTTCACTCACACGGTTCGTGGCCACATAGAGGTCTTTTGGGGGCCCCAGTGGCAGGGCCCGCACGCGGTTTCAACCCGCCAATTCGGCGCAATCATCGCGCGTTTCGTGGTCCCGCATGCAGCTCCATTTGATGCGGTACTCATGCGTTCCCTTGCGATTTTCGGTACACCCCTCACACGATTCGTGGCTCCTTTGAGCGCTCCACCGAAGGCCCCAGTGGCAGGGTCCGCATGCGTACTTGCGCCCATTTCGGCGCACCTTTCATACACTTCGTGGCCCCGTAGGGAGCTCCACTGAAGGCCCCGGTGGCAGGGTCCGTGCGCCCCCCCCGCCCATACTGGCACACCCCTCACACGCTTTGTTGCCCCAGAGGGCGCTCCACCGAAGACCCCACTGGCAGGGTCCGCATGCTCCACCCGCTTCGTGGCCCCATAGGGGGCTCCACCGAAGGCCGCGGTGGCAGGGTCCGCATGCGTCCCCCCGCTCGTTTCGGCACACCCCTCACACGCTTCGTGGCCCCGTAGGAAGCTTCACTGAAGGCCCTAGTGGCAGGGTCCGCATGCGTACCTCCGCCCAAACTGGCGCACCCCTCACACGGCCCTGTGAGAAGCTGCACCGAAGGCCCCAGTGGTGGGGCCAGCACGCGGTTTCAACCCGCCAATGCGGCGCCACCTTCGCACGCTTCGTGGCCCCGCAGGGAGCTCCACCTGAGGCTCCAGTAGCAGCGCCCGCATGCGGTTCCTCCCACAAGTCGGGCGCACCTCTCACACGCTTCACGGCGCCGTATGGGGCTCCCGCGACGGTCCCAGCGCCAGCCTCCGCAGGCGGGTCCAGCCCCCATTGCGGCGCACCTCTCGTGTGTTTTGTGGACCCACAGAGAGCTCCACTGAAGGCCTCCATGGCAGCGCCCGCATGGCGTAGCCGCACCCATGTCGGCACACCCGTCACACGCGTCGTGGCTTCATAGGGAGGCCAATCGAGGACGACACTCACAACTGCGTTGCTCAAGACTGCATATGGTTCAGTCCTTCGCCAGGCTAATTTCCACACCAGGCGTTTTCGCCAAGTTTCAGGCGCCAGGACCCTCACTGATCGATCTGTGTAGAAAGGAGGCGCAGACAGGTGGGGTCCGTCAGGGGCAACGTTAAGGGGATCAGGGGAGCGGATCCGGGGCAAGCGCAGAGGCCCCTTTGGAACATCGGATCTCAGGGGAGCGTCAGGGGCAACGTCAAGGGGGGTACGTTCGGAGGCAGCGTGAAGGTTTGACAGTTCCCGGACGGCTTCCGAGGTTGTCGGAAGTTGTCGATGCGGGGGGGGTCCATCAGCCGCGCCTCGCCGAGAGCGTTCCGGGAGTGCCCGGATCGCCCTGACCGCCGGAGACGGCCCGAAAACCAGACGACGAGGATCATCAGGGCGGTTAGGTTCCGGGGGACGCATCGACCCCCGATCGCCCATTCATCGCCGAGAGGGGCCCGAAGCTCAACCCGCCCCAGAACATCCGGCTTCACTATCGGGGGCCTACAGTCGGCCCTGATTGACCGAGTGCCGATGATAAAAAAGGACCCCCCCCTTTACACGCTAGAGTTGATTATCCACGGCCAAGAAGAGTTTGGTCAGGGGCGCGGGGCGCGGAGGCCGAACTTTTTTCACTGTGAAAAGCTTACCATCGAGGTTAACTTCCTTCTTATGCTGAGATAGCAACATCAAACGAAGCGAAGACGTTGTCGAGGATGTCTCAAGCGAAACCAACAGCGTTCTCTTTATCTCTCTCTCTCTCTCTTCTGTCTGCTCTTCTCTTTCTTTTTCCGTTTCCTCCCCCCCTGCCCCCCCTGTTTTTGTTTACCGTTGTGGTTTATTATCCACGACAGTCGATGCACGAGAGTCGATGCACGTGAAAATCTTAATTTCTTGCTTACGTACTCAATTTAATAGGTTTGGAACTTTGGCGTTTCTCCTCCTCCTTCTCCTCCTCCTCCTCCTCCTCCACCTCTCTCCTTCTGTCTGTCTATCTCTCTCTACTTCTGGGATCTCGATCCTCGGACTTCGGTTCTCGATCCTCGATCCTCGGCTTTCGGTCCTCTTAGCATCATCTCTCTCTCTCCGCCCACATGCTGACCTCCGGTAGGCAACATTTATAATCCCCCCGCGACCCCGAACTTTATTATCCCTGCGGGATTAATCTCGGCAGCACACGGTTATTCAGGTCGACCATGCCAAATCGAGGTATGCCCCTGTGTCCTGTCCATCCCGACCTATGCAACCCTCATGTCTTTTGGCGATCTGGGACCACGTTGCCGTCGGAAGAGTCCGACTGTCGGGTACCCTCTCCAATCAAGTCCGACTGCACTGCAAATCGATATTCGATACATCATCGATTCCAGGTCGATGTTTTCACCCCCTGAGCGGGTCCCCGCCGAACGTGGCCCCTCAGATGGGCGCTCCAGGTGTTCGGATTAGGTCGGGCATGTCCCCGTACAGGCGGGATTTGGACGAAAAAGACAGAACAGTTCAAACATATCCAAACAATAGTCACAAGCAGTCCAAAAATCGTCCACATACTATTTGTGGCCTATTCGGGAACATTCCTCCTGTAGAGGGACATGCCCGACTTCATGTTCGGCGATCGACCCCGACATCCGAAGGTTTGCTTTGTTGCCATCGGGGCCTGTTGCTTCCATCCTTCTGGCCTCCAGAACGGCCGCTCTCCACTCTTCGGGCCCACCGGGGCCCTCGGCACGGAGCCCGGGGCGCAGTAACTAGATCCCCCCATGTGTCGGGAGTTCCGGGGCCGAGGATTCTCTTGCTGCGCCTCCAGAAAACAGGCAGATCGGGGGCTGTCTGGGCTCGGGGTTCCCTCGCGTTCTTCCGTGGGTTACCCCGCGAGGCTTCTTGGCCTCGGGGTGCTCTCCAGCAGGTGCGCCTCGTCGATGGCGTTCTCCCGCGGGGGGGGTGCTCGGAACACGTCCCGGCCGGCCGCCGAAGGCCCGGGCCAGACTTCTTCCACCTCCTCCTTCTCCTCCTCCTCCTCCTCCTCCTCCTCCTCCTCCTCCTGCTCGTCGTCCTCCTCCTCCTCCTCCTCCTCCTCCTCCTCCTCCTCGAGTCCGTAGCCATTTTGGCTCAAGACTGATGCTTTGGCGGGCCGAGCCCGCATTGGCAAGACTGGACACCGCTGTTACCGCGGCAGTGCCAGAGCGTTTACGCTCGACAGCTTTCAGCCAGTACCGCACGGGCTTCCTGGCGGCCCCTATCGACCACCCACGGCGCAGCCATGGCGCCGTCCCCGTGGGCTCCGGAGGCCAAGTCGGATTGGATGTGCAAGTTCTGTACTTTTCGGCGTACTGGTCTCCCTCTCATCAATTACGGCAGCAATGAGAAGTGCTTCAAGTGTAAGGTACACAAGGGGCAAAGCTTCAAGTGTGTGGTTCCCGTCGACTCCCCGAGCCGCAGCACCAAGCGCAAGCCCCCTCCCATTGGGGGAGAATCCTCTGCCTTGGCCAAGCTGGAGAAGCGACTGCAGTCTCTGGAGGCCGAGAACCAGCGTTTGCGTGCGCCGCAGGATGGTGGACAACAGTCGCAAGCGCAAGCATCAGACCTCGTGTCAGAAGAGCTACGTGATGAGATTGACGGCCTGGTCAAGCATGTGCAGTGGTTGGAGTCGGTCAAGTTACCATGGGCCGCTCAGCCTTTACAGGCGGCTCGTGACCAGCTCGAGGCATCTCGCCGCAAGTTATACGAGAATAAGCCCCTTCCAGCGAAGCTTACGGCTCTTTCGAGGCGAGCTGAGCAGGCCCGTCAGCGTCTTCAGAAGGCAGAGGCGCACAAGCTGGAGGCAGACAAGGCGTTGGCAGCAGCTCAGAGCCAAGTGGATTCAGCAATCCAGGCGCTGGAGGAGCGCAAGAAGGCTGTTGAAGACCTCGACGAAGAGCTACGCCAGCTATCGTCGCAGCCTGGTCAGGCTCCGATGGCGGTGGATCTCACGGGGCCCGAGATATACCTCAGCGAGTCCAAGTTGGTGGAGTGCTTGGGCTCGATGGACGGCGTCGCCGACGCCAGCAAGCTGGCACCCATGCTGGTGGAGGCGCTCAAGTCGCGGGCAGCTGAGCTCTTCTCGCAGCCGCCCGAGAAGAAGCAGAAGACGCAGGAGGCAGGGGTGGCGCCGCCCACTCCAGGCCGCGCTGAGCCTGACAAGCCTGCCGAATGGAACCATCAGGACATGGACGTGGAGGCCCTGCGCAAGGACGTGGCTGACTTCGTGGAGGCGAGTGTGGAGGAGGCCATACTGCGCGAGAAGGCGAAGCAGCTGGCAGCAGGCGGCTTCCGACCCCCACGCCTACTCAATCCTAACTATTGATTGCCCCCGCATGCTGGACGACGGCATGGTCATCGGGGGCGAGGTCAATTTCTGCGTCAACTTCGTTTCAAGGTGCTCGTCAACGACAGTGCGAGCGCCTAACGCTGGAGGCTCCAGCTCCGCCAAACCCCATGGCCCTGGTCTCCTGGGTGCCGCTCGGGGTGGGCTCCCCAGCTGGGGCCTCTTTCCTTCATCGCCTTTGCCCGACAAGGGTCGACAAAACAGTGTGCCAGGATCACAGCCTCTGCAAGGCCTCTCGGCTCACGCCTGCAAGTATGGTGGTGCAACTTTTCCAGACTATTCTGAGCTCAAGTTGTGTGAGTATCGCCAGCAGGACATTGAGACCGAGAGCACAGTTGCCCCATCTTCCACTGGAGTGGTAGGGGACTCGTCTTCGTCCCCGTGGTCGCAGCCTTCTTCGAGTTCGGCTCAGGATGCGGCTCAGGCACTTCGTTGGGCAGCTGATTTTGAGGCTCCTTCGTCGAACCAGCACCAGACGGAGTTCACGCTCGTTACTTACAATGGCAACACGTGGACCACTGTTCAGACTTTCCTGGAATGGCTGGTGTTTGATAAGTATTTGCAACCAGATGTACTCCACGTGCAAGAGCATCGCCTCAGAGGAGGCGACCAATTAAAGAGTGCTCAATCTTGGTCGCATGCTCGTGGGTATCGTTTTCTCGCCAATGGCTGCCAGATCACTGGAAGCACGGCGACGTCGACCTCGAGCGGCGTGGGTGTGCTCAGCCTCAACAGTCTGCCGAGCGTCCCCTATGTGCCTCATGGGGAGTACGCCAAGTCTCGCATGTTTTTTCAAAGAACGGTGATTGGCAGCATGCAGATCCTACTTGCCTCTGTGTATGGCATCACCAGTGTTGGCCAGTCTGGGAACTTGGAGCTCTTCGCCTCTCTGATCCAAGTCCTGCGCGAGTCATGTCTACCCTTTATCGTGGCTGGAGACTGGAATGTGGAGTCAGAGTGTTTCGGGCGGGACACGTTTCTCAGAGCTGGATTTCTTGGTCACCTCCATGCGGAGATTGTTCACGGCGGCCGCCCTACTTGCAATGAGTCGCACTACGACTACTACATCGTCAGCGACATCCTGCTGCCCTTCATCAGGAGCGTGGGTGTGATCGACGACACCCCTGTGGGCCCACACAGGGCCGTGGTGCTGAGGCTTGCTGGTCTCGGCGGGTCGAACTTTGTGTATCGCAGAGTGCAGCAAGAAAAGTTTTTGATGCCAGCTTCTGGGCAGCCATTTGTGCCTGGTGATGTCTCGTCCTGGCCAGGTTTCGAGTTGGAAGAAAATGAGTCTCTGGACAGCCTCGCTCGCAGGTGGTTTTCTTCGGCTGAGCTCTATTTAAGCCTCTTTTTGGCTATCCCCATCGCCGAGAGGCCTAGGTTTTGTGGCCGCTCAGCTGGATGCAAGCTCGAAAAAGTCCCGATTGCCTGCGAATGGGGGAAGAGTCTCCGTAGGAAAGCCAGCCCATCCACCCAGAAGTGGCTCTCTGTCAGGCGTCTCACCATGCAATGGCTGAGAGCTGAGGGTAAGACTTCTGAACCCCAGGTTGCTCGACAGGCCAGTGCCCTCAGGATGCTATCTGGTTACTCCGAGGTTTGGGACGGGTTGGACTGGGCGGGGGAGGACGGCGTCACTGTCAATTCGCTTGGAGACTTTTTGAAAGGCTTGAGGGATCCCGATAAGAGGGCCCAGGTCTGTAAGTGTCTCCAGGACCAGGTGCTTTCGCACACTGCCGCCGATGCTGCTGCCGCCAAGCAGAGCTGGAAGGAATATTCCGAGCTGGCTTTTTCCAACGGGGCCAGCCTGGCCCACCGTTTTTCGAAGGGCCCCAAAGGGGCCACGGCCGCGGACATTGCCCAGGGGCTCCCTGTTGTCGGTCATGAAGCTCTGCAGGAAATGTTAAAGGAGTGGTCTAGTCTTTGGGTCGTCTCTGCCAGGTCTGATGAGCCCCACCCTCTGGTTTGGGATGTTTCCCAGGCCGCGCCTCTGCCTCAGTTTTCGGATGATGATGTGAAGGCGGTGCTCAGCTCTTTTAAGAGCAAGACGGCGCTCGGCTGGGACTGCTTCCATCCAAGGTGGGTTGAAAAACTTCCGTCGGTCCTCGTCTCGACTCTCACCCTCCTCCTCTTGTCGTGGGAAAGTAACCCTGAGCTCACAGACGTCTGGCTGACCCTTATTGTCTTTCTACCAAAGGTCACTGGAGGGGTGAGGCCAATCGGCCTGCTCCCTTTCTTCGCGCGTCTGTGGTCGAGGCTCCGCCACCGTGTTGTTGCCAAGTGGGAAGCTACCCTACCAGATACCTTTTTCTGGGGTGGCTCCTCGGAGACCTCGTGTGACAAGTCGGCCTGGATCCATAATGTCCTAGCCAGCGCAGCTCCAGAGTTTAACTTCGTAACGGCGAGTGCATTTATAGACCTCCGTAAATTTTATGAGATGGTGTCTCATGCTGAGCTGCTCTGTGCGGCTCGGGACACTGGATTTCCAGAAAATCTTCTGAGGCCGCTTTGCGCTTTGTACAGAGGGCCCAGGAGGGCCTCCTACCAGAACTCCACGTCCCACGAGATCTTTGCCAACGGAACAATTGTCGCTGGCTGTTCGTGTGCTACTGGGCTCGCGAAGCTCATGACGGTGACGGTTCTTCGACATGTGGGGGCACGCTGCAACTCGATTCGGATCAAAAACCTGATCGACGACATCAGCTTACACGCGGTCGGGGGGCCCCAGACAGTTGCTCGTGAGCTCAGTTTGGCCTTTAAGGAGACGGTGGGCTTGCTGCAGGCCCGAGGGCTACCGCTGTCTTGGGACAAGATGGGCTTCTTGTGTAACGACGCTGAGACTTTCAGCCTGATCGAAGATGAGGTTGCCGATTTGTGGCCGGTGGGAGTTCCCTTTCCAGGTCGGGGTCAATTCCATCGAGATCTTGGGGGCGATGCAGTCGATGGTCGTTATCGGCGTATCGGCACTCAGCTCACTCGTATTCGTGACGCTATGCAGAAAGGGGTCAGATTACTGGCGCTCAAGGGTCTCGGGAGGCAGCGCTCAGCAGTTCATCGGTCAGGGGTTCTCTCCAAGGCCTTGTGGGGATGCTCCATAGCAGGGGTGCCCAATAGCAGGATACAGCAGCTCCGAATGTCCTTTCTCAACGCGGGCGCTCGGTTCAAGCCTGGGGCCTCAGTGGGCCTATCTCTTATGTGTGCGGAGAACGGTTGGCACAACGACCCTCTGGTGATAGCCACCTCCGATGCCATACACACGTACATTGTTATTATGACCACTGGGTCGATCACCTCGTCGGTTGTATCGGCATTAATGGTGGCAGCGCTTCCTCTGCTGGACGATCCTCAAGCTTGGTTGAAATGCAGGAACCCCATTGCAGCGCTGATGATCAGCTTGCACAGGATCTGCTGGAAGTTGCTGGACCCAGTCACGCTTGTCGATGATGAGGGAACGACCTGGGATCTTAAGTTTTACTCGGCCAGTTGGATTGCTCATGTTGTCAAGCTGGGGGTGCGTCGGCAGATTGATCGGGATGCGTTGGCAACCCTTCAGGGGTCAGGTTCGACTAGAACAGGCCCCATTTCCTGGCAGCCGATATCGGAGACGCTCCACGGAAAGAAGTTGTCGCCCCATCAGCGGCGCTCGCTGCGAGGGGTGATCACTGGAGGTCACTGGACTCAGGTCAGGATTGCCAGGGCCTTTGCGGGGCACTCCTCGCTCTGCACGCGCTGTCAGTCGGCGCCTGGCACCCTCTTTCACCGCTTCTTTGTGTGCGACGCGTTCGCGGCCCAGCGCCAGATGCTGATCCCGCCAGAGGTCCGTCGAGCGGCCCAGAGGATGCTGAAGGAGCCTGAGGACAGGCAGGACCGCTTCGCGCGAGGCTTGCTCCCACACCCTGGTCAGGCCTTTCACGGTGGAGGCCGATCTTCGCGGCATGATATGATTGACGTGGATCGGCGAGGGGTCACCTCGGTCAACGGGGGCTACGTCTTCGTGGACGGGAGTGCTTTCTCGGTTCGCACGCCCGAGCTGAGATCAGCTGGATGGGCAGTTGTGGTGTACGACGCCGAGAGGAGACGAGTGGCCAGATACCATGGAGCTGTCCCTAGACGCGAGGGGCCCAGTCAGGTAGCCCGCGACGGGGAGGACTACGCGCTGCTGAAGGCCAGCGAGCTGGTCATGGGCTCATACGTGGTCTTATCCGACTGCAAGGGCTCGGTGGGTTGCTGCCACCGTCTGGCCGCGGCTTGTGGGCCTGGCAACCTTCGAGCTCACATGTGGCGCAGGACGGCTCTGAATGATGATTTCTGTCGGGCGCCAGTTTTTCACGTCAAGGCTCACACGTCCGAGGCAGACGTCAGGAACGGGCTGATCAGCCAGTTCGACAGGGAGTGCAATGCTGAGGCCGATGACTTGGCCAAGGCAGGGGCGTCTTTCCACGCGGCATCTGACGTGCAGGAGAGGCTCGTGCGCGGGGCCATGCGCTTGCACAAGCTGTTATTGGGCTACATTGCTCAGTTCGAGGTGTGGTTTCACGAGCAGGATGAGCAGTTCAGGGATTACGTTTTCCCAGAGCCTGATCCTGAGGATGAAGGGCTTGCCACTCCGCAGCAGATCGCGGCCTCGCGAGAGGCAAGTTTGCCGTGGCCGTGGTTGGTCCAGAAGCATGCGTTACTTGAGTACCCTGTGGTCGGTCATGATCGGTCATTGGTTTTCTGCACCAGCTGTTGCAAGTATGCCGACACTGGAAGCCTGACTCATCGAGGGCTCGATCACGTTTGTTGTGGCAGAGAAGGGGGCAGCGGCAGGATTGAGGAGAACACTCGGCACTTTGAGAACCTGCGGCACCCCCAGACACTGCACAAAGATATCAAGTTGATGTGCGGCAGGAGGCCCTCTGCGAAGGTTCGTGCAATCATGTGTCGAGCCAAAGGTTGGAAGGACCCTCTGAGCGACCAGCCTGACATTGACTTCCGTCCGAAAGGCAAGTTTCGAGCGGAGTCGCAGAGATATTTAGACACGTCCGCTGTACTTCTCGACCACGGACTCACCTTCCCTGAAGCTTTGGAGTTGGGAGCTCCAAGAGATGACGACAGTGATGATGATGTCGACCCTGATATGGTGTAGCGACACGGCTTGGAGTTTGCCATCAAAATCCTGGTATGCCCAGGTTCGTGTCGCCACCCCTCTGGCCCCTGCTTGGGCACCCGCACGCTGGACCTGGTCGCGGGCGGGCAACAGTGCATGCAGGGGCGGGGGGGGTTTTGCTGGACATTGCAGCTCGGGCGTCGTGGTGTTTGATCCAGCCTGGCTGAACTTGTTTAGCTTTTCCGCCGACACCTTCGGCGTTTTTGGCTTTTTCCTCCTGCTGGAGTTGCTGGGCCAGGCGAAGCTCGGCACCGTGCTGGACTTCGGCACCGTGCTGGACTCGCTGGGAGCCCTCGGCGCCCTGGGAGCGCCGTCGGAGGGCTGCGAGCTGGTGAGCACGGGCCTGGCGCAGGCTCCGTGCTCCCTGGCGGGCGCGAGGCCCGCTTCCCCAGGCGTCCGCAAGGGTTGGACTTGAGACCTCGGAGGCTGCAAGGCGGTTCTGGGCCCTTGTGGCTCCGTTCTTGCAGCCATCTGAGGTCTCGGGTTCGGCTCTTGCGAGCCCTCGGCCCGTGCGCGGGCCCGTCCGACCGCCTCTCGGCTTCTGCTCGCTCCTCCTCCTCGAGGCGTGTTTAAATCAGGGCGACAGGTTCCGACAGTTTTCGGCTTCTGGGGGCCCTCACCGAGCCCCAGGGCCGTCGACAATCCCCAAGGGCTTGACGGCTTTTCTTTTCAATCGATTTGCGGAGATCAAGCCAGATCAATCAAGGTGAGCGCAGATAGATCGATGTAGATTCAGGTAAATCGGGGCAACTTGGCAACTTCCAGGGCCCTTACCGAGTTCTCGACCTCCTAGTCGGGGTCGGACCAGGTGGGGTCGGAGGATCGTGCCGCATCGCCGATGCATCGGCGATGCGGCTCGATGCGGAGTCCGATTTTCTCCATGCCGACGTCGCCGATGCGTCCCCGACGTCGCCGATGCATCGCCGATGCATTCGCGATGCGCGGCGATCTTCCGACTCCATTTATTCGGACCCCATCTAGGAGACCTCTAGTCCCAGGGCCTTCCGAC